ATTCTTTTTATATTAAATATTTTTATTTTTTACTTTACTTTTAGGGGCTTCGGGGAAATATTAGGGGTCTGATATTTCCCTTTTAAAATAGAAAAAGAGATTGAGGACACAGGACACAAAGTCCTCAATCTCTTTTTCTGTATACCCTGTTATTAATGAACAGGAATCCTTTATGAGTGTTCATTGATAACATTGTATGTTTACTATAACCACAACTATGAATGAACAGGAGATGATGTAGATCACTTCCCATTCATTCATAATTGAGGATATAGTAAACATGCCATGTCCTCAATTATCTACAAACACTCAGCGATCACTGATCACTGAGTGTTTGCCCTCCTTTCTGACAAGCACTGTCACAGGAGGCTGAGCGAGCAGAGCAGGGAGGAGAGCCCAGCCTCCTGTGACAGAGTGTGCTGTCTCCGCCCCCACACCACTCTGCCGGACTGTGATAGGCGGCTGAGCGGCATGGGAGGAGAGACACCGGCGTATCACAGTGCTCTCCTCCCGCAGCACTCGGCAGGCTATCACTTTATCTCCTTCCAGCTGGGACACAGAGCAGTGCCAAGCAGGGAGGAAAGAAATCACGGATGCGCCGATGTATCAGGAGGAAAATGGCACTTTCGCATTTGGCCGGCGCCCCCCCCCCCTCAGCTCTACGCCCGGGGCCAGCGCACCGGCTGCCCCCCGGTTGTTACGCCACTGCTCAGCAGGAATATCCAAACCTAAAGGTAGACATGAAAAGAGTCTGCAGTTATGACAAGGAGATCTTGCTGTTGGAGTATCAAAGGCATTTAAGAAGCCCGGGGCTGACTCGGTCCACCAGGCTCTACGTGTCACTAAAATATCCCTTTTGAGTGGACAGAACTTTTAAGGTTATGGTTGTCTCTGTGTTTAATGGACCAATGGCTGGAGGACAATGTAAGGACCACAATATTACTCAATATTTCTGAATTGCTGCTGCGTACATACACTTCAATAGACAATCTTTTACCTTTGCAATTGGCTCCATCACCAAAATAGCCATAAGGACACCTTCCACATTTATAGCCTCCATCTTTGTTTGGTTCACAGGCAACTCCCCGGAAACAAGGAGAATCTGCACAGGTGAACCTCCCTGGAGCCGCTGTTCCTGGACTCTTCAATTCTCCCCTTTCTTCTGTCCTGTTCGACAGAGGTCGAGAGGTGTCTACATTGACGCTTTTCCCAAGTTTGATATCAGTAACCGTGTTGTATGATGAGCTTTCAGAAGTCTTTCTGACCATGTGCTCCTTTGAAGTCCTCTCATGCAAGCTTAGCTGGTATCTGGAGGTGTTAGTAATGGTCTGTGCAGTTGGAAGCCCATTGCTGTAAGGTCCTTTGTAACTGGTCTTGGTTATGTGACTGGACAACAAGCCATTCCGAGAAAGGTAGGAAGGCGTTCTCCGACCGTTCAGGGTCTTGGAGATGGTGGACCTTCTTGTATCGCCGATGGTCAGAAGAGAGTGGTCATTCCGAGTGGTCTGCACAATAAGAGATTCAGAACTTCTGCTCGGTGCTGCTGGGCTGGGATCACCAGGAGGAAATAAAGGTTCACGGATGGATTTTGTAGCGGAACCTAAAATGAAATAAATGATAGAATGTTCGAACATATTTTAGGACCTTAGTTCTATATCTTTTTGCCCAAACTCTGTACTATAGAAGCTGTGTTATACTTCCATGGGGGGGTTAAGGAACTAGAAAAGCAGGATACATATCTCAGCATGAGAGCACCTGAATGCAATTTGGAAATTCGGATCCCGAATGCCATTTGGGTCTGGGAGCCTCAGCTTTAGTATTAATATCTGTATATTGTTTTCTGGGGTATGGGCAAAGAATATTCGTAAACTCATCCGAAACTAACTAAAGTTCGGATTTCGTCTGCATCCCGAAATAACGAAATATCCGAACCAAACCGAATTTTTCCGCTGCTTACATGTCTAATGCTGAGCCATGATTGAAAGAACTGAAATCCAATGAATAAAAGGGGTAGCCAGAGAGAGCCAGGCTGGGGAGGAAAGTGCTAGATGATGCAATGTCCTCCAGCCTGCAAATAAGGTGGGCTCTATCGGACTTGCTGCAGCTTCTAATGCACATTGTGAGAAGCTCCCAGTCTACAGAGGAAGCGATTTCAGTCCAGGAGAGGGGCAGCTACAACTGTGTTAGACTGTAAGGAAGGCCGGAGTTCAGCTTTAAAGGAGACTTTAAATAATACAAGGTGCATCGTGCAGACAGCCCCCTAATTAAAAAACGCTCCCAGTGTACAGAGGAAGCGATTTCAGTCCAGGAGAGGGGCCGCTACAACTGTGTTAGATTGTAAGGAAGGCCGGAGTTCAGCTTTAAAGGAGACTTTAAATAATACAAGGTGCAGCGTGCAGACAGCCCCCGCCCCCTAATTAAAAAACGCTTATTCACAGCTGCCGAAAATAAAGCTTTTTTAAAAAAGAATAAAATAAATACTTGTTCCACTTCTCTCACGTTTACACACATTTCTGAGCGTCGGCGGATTATATAAGAATGTAGAAAATATCCCCTTACAATGGCTGCACAATAATTCATTACCCAGTTCAGGAAATGAACACTTGTTTATTATTACTTTAGCGCTCCGCTCAATTAACAGAGCAAATGTTCCATGGAGATGGGTACGGGAGCAGCTAATGGAACATTGTATTCAGCGTAACAAACATTAACATCTTATGTAACCTTTCCAAATACTGTACATATGCAGGAATCGGCTTCTTAAAGTGCAACACCCCCGAAAACGGTAGTTTAGCAGTTTCTGCCTCCGCCTCTCCCCTTTATGAAAACAGTCCTATGTATGGAGGTTCAGAAACGGTTCTGCATGTTATTACCTTGGTGTCTTCCGTTTGTTCTACTGACATGTCTGTAATAGCCTTCTGTGAACGTGGCGGGTGACTCAGTTGTTGAAGGGAAGGGAGTTGTTAATATCGGTACTGTAAAAGTAAACACAGAAAGATAAAACACTTAAGACTTGTACAAGAAAGAAAAGAAAAGCAGGAGCGAGAGCGGGTGGTAGTCACGTGATTTGTGAGGTTCTCTCTACATCTTCTCCGATGCTAGCCGGTTTCCTAATGAGGCAGAGAATGGGCATGACATGAAGGTGTCTGCACCATTCCCTTCATTATTGCATGTAAGTGCAGGGTGTCATAGTGCCACCCAACAGGAGACTGCTGACGCGTTTCATCACTTGGACTTTCTTAAGGGCTGGCTTCTGAAATGTCTTTCTCATTCACATACCATAGTATTCCTAGCAATGCGGCTTTTACACAAATTATGACATTTGAGCATATGGCCAAATAGTGTTTTTGACTTTTTAGCTTCTCTCAAGTACATATGTAGGAACACAAAATACTTGGACTTGATCTATTAGATAGGGACTTTAAGCCTGGACCCACAGATTAAAAGTCTTTTTTTTTTTTTAAGTCCGTGGTGCGTGCATCAAAATAGCATTCCCCTGCAAACAAAAAATGTGAATCGTGAAATCACAACACACACAAAAAAAGTGCACGAGGGTGCTGTGGTTCTCCTCCAAAGAGGAAGGGCCTTAAAATTCCTGAACACCCCGGGGTGCAAGGCTCCTGACAGGGGCAAGGACGACTTAGGACCACCTACCCGAAAGCCGGCGGACCTTGATCCTCCGGGCCCTACTGAAGTAGGGCCCACAAGTACTGGGTGGGTCCGAAGAGAGACCCCTCCCAAGGCAGGTAAACCCATTACGGCCACAGAATCTGCTCCCTAACATTAGGATGGGCCTCGAAGGTACCTGCACCCTCCGACAATCTGTGGAGTTGAAAGTGCTCAGTCGTGCATTAAAATAAATAGGTGCCAGTGCACAAACCTGGCAGGCCATCCAGCCAAGGTTAAAAAATTGCCCCAGGCTAGCCAGAAGGCCTAACCAAGAGGCGTGGTGCAGAACAGATTAGTCTTATGTTCTACCAACAAGGCAGCCCTGGAGAAAGTCCTAACGATGAAACGAGTTGGACGGAGCCTGTTGCATGCGTAGTGTGGGTCAGCCTGTAGAGGCGGGACACTAAGTTCAGGTCACCACAGGTCTGTGCTGAGAACTGCCAGAATACTGTATACTCAAAAGCCCTCGGTCCTCATACAAGCAGAAGGGTGGCTTTTGGGAGAGGTTATGGAAATATTGAAATGCCTTGATTCATGGAGGCCAGTCAGGGGGAGTGGGCATTCCTAGGCATGTTTCATTTGCATGGAGACCACCCTAGGTAATGCCCACATGTGATGTTGAGGACTGAAATTTAATGACTGAAAGTAGTAGACCATGTACAGTCAGCTAGGTTATGTTGGAGGTGTAGCCAGGATATCAGCCGGGCTCTGTCTGACTTGCTATAGCTTCTAATGTCCATCGCAAGGAGCTCACAGCGTGCAGTGACATCAGAGTAGCCGAGGAGAGAAGAGGACCCTGTACAAGACTGAAAGTAGGGCTGGAGCTCAGCTTCAAATGTTCTTAGGTTTATAAACACTTTAATCTAGCCGCAAAGGGGTCTCTATTGTCATGGCGTGGGTATAAAATCTATAGGACATCATCTTACCACATGTCTTTCCATCTCCTTCATTGCCCTGCGGACAAGGACCACACTTGAAGGAACCCATGGTGTTCGTACAGAGGACAGTGGTGTAGCAAGGAGCAGATAGACACTCATCGAGGTCTTCCTCACAAGATTTTCCTAGAAATTGATAAAATAAATGCAGAGGTGTTTACTGTGTAGAATAAAACCTGAAATCATAACTTCACAATCATTTATTATCCTAGAAGAGTTTGGTTTGTGAAGAAAAAGACTAGTAAGCTAGCCTAGCCCTCAATGTGGATGACAGACTCTCACCCTTCTCAATAGTTCTTCAGGTGGTCAGCAGAGCTGGATTACTCCATGTGTATTTAATAGTGTATTGAATTCAACTGGTAGCTCTGTTTGTCCTGGGACCTCTGTAGATGGCCCTCAGCATCAGGAATAAAAACAGCATTTCACACCTAAAAGTCCAGGATGATATTTTATTTAAAATTGCCAACAAAATTCCAATGTGTTTCAGGTGTTGTGAGGGCCCTCCTCCTTTAAGGCTGCAAAGGATCTAAAATCTAAACATATCTTTTGGAGGATATTTTCCACTTGATGTATTGTAGATCTGGTTATTCCTGAGCTTGAGGACATTCACAGTGGTAGCCATTGACCTTAACTACACATGCTGTGAATCTGGTAATTCCTGACCCACCTTTCAGACCTAGGGAGCTTTCACAGTGAAATTTTTCACCTTAGCTACACATGCTGGGCATCTAGTCATCCATCACCCACCTTTCAGACCTACAGGGCATTCACAGTGATAGCCATTGACCTCATCTACGCATTTTCCTGCACTGCATGGATTAGATTGACAGTCATCCGTGTCTGTTTCACAGTTCTCTCCCTCAAATCCTAGAGTGCAGACACATATATATTCCCCTTTTCCCGATGGGAAGTTAATATTTGCCACGCACGATCCACCGTTCTTGCAGCCACAGGCTTTCACTAGAACCTGTGAAATAAGAACACATAGCAATGAAATGGGTAAAATGAAAATCATCAGAATTTACAGTGGACCTAAACCTAAAAAGTGAAGATTTGCGTTCTTATAATGAACATTTATAACGTTAATTGTGCCTAAGCGGTTCCCCTGAAACATCTTGAATCTCTCCTAAAAATTAGCAGTGCATTCCTGTACATTGAGCCACCAGATTTGGAGTAATGTCACTACTATGCTGCTCACTGTTCTTCATGCTAGAGAGGGAGGTGTACCTATGGACCTGCAGGGAGAGTAAATCCGGCCCTGACTGTACCAATGTTTGTATGTATCTATTCTGAGCTAAAATGTAGCACAGGATCAGCGAGTGATAGGACATACATCACTTGTACATACATTTTGGCCTTTCTAATCATCTGAAGGACAACTGGCTGCCCAAACCTTACCTAGGCTACAGAAAAGTCATCTTTCATCCAGCTCCTACAAAAGGCAGGCAGGATATATTTTCATTTTATATTTATCTGAGAGTGCAGATATCATTACACACTACTCTGTGGTGTCCAGACCTTTGATGTTCAGGAGATGTCGGGGATAAAGGTTTGCCCAGAAAATACGCTAAGTAAATCACCAGCTCTAGGGCTTCAAAGGCATTCTATCTCTGTGATCCTGGTGACATAAATATTAATAGAGGAGCCACTTCCAGACGGTCAATGTTTGTGTATGTTCTTCAGAATCACTTCAGATAAGAACCTCAAGCAAATAACTACATTCATTCCATGAACGTCCATTAAAGTCACTTTGATTTGGATTTGATATAATATGTCACTATGTAGCCCTGAAGAAGGGACCCTGCGTGGCCCTGAAAAATTGAGGTTTTTATGACATATTGTGACGACGACTCAATAGTTTGAAACAGGATTTATGATTCTGCTTCGTGTGTGCTGTTGATTATATGATCTTCAGTGTTTTTGCATCATACAATTATTATATAGATCCATACTGTAGTCCATTGTAGCGCCCATCACCTTTGTCATGTACTATGCATTTAGTGATAGCCAGGGCTGAAGACAGCCTGGCTGGATTTGTAGTAGCAATTACATGGTTAATCCCAGGTGTCTAACCTTGTCTGTACCCCCCTGTGCGGAGTGAGACTTTGTGATATTGGGGGACAGCCAATAGGAGACACTGTAATATGTGTACAGTACAACAGCCAACCACTGGGCTTGTTTCAGCCAGTGATGCCTGCTGGGATAGTGTACATATATGGGTGGGAGCTGCCATGTGGGCTCTATCTCGCCTGGACCAGCCATGGATTAAGGCTGGGTCCTGATCAGCCTGCCCCCCAGGCTAGGCCGAGGCCTGGGGGTGGGCAGTGGCTGAAGTGAGGAAAGATTTTCCCCGAGGCTCCAACATGGAGGAGGCCTGAGAGATGGAGAGACGAAAAGAACCAGGACCAGTACAGGCTCTTGAAGTGCCCTGGATCTATGTGGACTTCAGAGCATGGTCAGTGTTTCTTTCTTGGATTGTGGACATGTATTCCTACTGTTACAAGATCCGGGGAGTCTGGAGCGGATGATGGCTACCCCTAGACACCTAGAACCTCTATACCCTCTCTCCCTAATAAGAAGTTCAATAAACGGTTCAACTTGCATCATACTACTGAAGTGGACATCAATTTATGGGCATCAGAAGAGGGCGGTTAGTGCTAATGGGCGCAGCTGGAAATCCACCCCTAGACTGACTAGATGTGGACCGGGAAAACAGCGGCTCCTTGCGGGGAGTTATCAATACACCATAGTAAGCCAGAGTAAGTGACAGAACATTATACAGAATACCTTACCTCCACCGTTTCAGTGGTCTTTGCATTGCAGTCATCAGAGATGGAGAACACAAACTTCTCTCCAGTGTGGGACATGACTTTCCAGACCAACAGTCCTGCTGGAGACAGAGAGGCCCCCTCCGGTCCGGAGTCCAGCATGAACAAGATGGCGGAACCCTCTGGGTCTGACCCCATGAACTGGTACACAAAGTTTTCACTATAAAACATCTGTAGTTTTTCCGGTAGTGAATGAAGCACTGGAGGTTGGTTGTCTGCAAGAGATTCATGGGTGTTATCAGGGCTCTTATGTGGTTTAATTCGAAGATGAGCCCATGAAGCTCCAGATTTCTAAATTCATAAGTGCCATGGAATTTTCTGTGCTGATGTGTGGTAGATATTGGGCAATGAGGGCACCACAGCCGAATCCATTTAACAGCAGGACAAAAAAGCCATGGTACTTGTGAACTGAACCTGGTTTAACTAATTTTGGCATTATAATTGTAACTTTCTGTTTGGTCTGACGCCCTTCAAATCTTTCAAAAGGAGACAGGACTGGGCTGTGTGGCAGAGATGTGTAAATATCAGAACTGGAGGGACAGCAATACAGATCATCTGTTAAGGTTTTCATTTTCATGGTATAGTTAGTAGTCACATGCACTTGGACTTGTTTTGTAATGCTGAAGACATTTTGTTGCTCATACACACCACTTCTTCAGCTCTAATGAGCTGGTTGCTCTAGTTTGTTGTAGATGGCCCATTTTAATGCCTCTTAAAAAACAGTTGACCCCTCTGTCCTCCAAGGAATTTCCCTTTTCCTTAAGGTGTCGGATAACTTCTGAGGGCAAAATCTATAGGACAGAACTTAAACGTTTTGCTATCCCTAAAGGCAAAGAAAGAGTCATTCTTTGGAGGACATTGAGGTGCACACAGGGCCGGATTTACTCTCTCTGCTGCCCTAAGGCCAGGTTCCTCAATGCACCCCCCTACCCCCCCCCCCTCCCCCCCATGGAGAATGGCAGACCTGCAGGCTGCATACAAGTGATCTCTGCAACATCGCTGATGTTGCAGAGATCACTTGTACAAAACAAGCGGCGGCTTCCACGCTGTGCATTTAGTTCTGCTTGCCCAAAGTAGGGCTAAATGTAGAAAACAACTACCCCTGCTGCCCCTCTACTCCCTGCTGCCTCAAGGCCGGGCCTTGTGTGAAATCCGGCCCTGGGTGCACATTTTGAACAGAGAAGACAACTGGTTCACAAGAAGTCTGAAAGAGGCCATCTACATCCAACTGGAACACCCATCCCTAAACGGGGGTGGAGACCTTCAACACCATCTTTCTTCCACATATAAAGCCATTTTAAAATAATTTACCTCAGCAAACCAAAGCCATTACCAAAATTTACACTGTTAGCCATGTGAAGGTGGGGATTACCAGCACGTACGTCCTGATACCAAGGATGGGATTATATAACTAATACAAGGGGTTCCACAACATTAACACCCTCCATCCTGTTCTTGGACAATCAACATCTGCACATTCCAAGGTGAATGGACTCGATTGCCTGTGCTACCTGTGTGGGTATAAATGCAAGGTATGTTCCTGACGCTCATTGGAATTGAAGAAGTGGTTTTGATAAGCTATGAAACATCTTCAACATTACAGGACAAGTCCAGCTGAATGTGACCAACTGCTACTAGCTAGAAATACAAATCCAATGGCAGGTAAAACTGTTTCCAAATATATATATATTTATATCTGTGTATTTAACTGTCTTCCTGGAGTTCAATGCTAATTTAACGCTTATTTTGCCACACAGTAAATCAAGTCTCCTCATCCCACCCCAGAGAAGATATGGTTCATCTCTGTAATTTTCTTTCATTAACATTGGAAAGCTTACTTTCAGCGACTGACCACGTTAACTTGGAGACCTCAGGCTTGCAGAGTAGACATGGGCTGGTCGGGTTTGTGTCATCTTCAGCGTAACAAAGTCCATCTATATTACAGGTCTTTTCCTAGAAAACAACAAGGATATTGTTCAGAAAACATGACTGGGCTACAATTCATCTCACAAACGTTCCCCATCTCCACCCGCTGGCATGCCTAGAGCTGCACTGCATCCAGAACGTATTACTCTGGGAATGATGATGTCATAGGCCGGTTTAACTAAGTGTTATAGAATCACTGTCTGGGGACTGATGTCACTCCTTTTGACATTCTGCTCAGTACAACAAATTGTCCTTACTAATATTCAATTCTAATACCCCGAGGAAGTGAACTGTGCAAGACAATATCTGGTATCTGCTTCATTTTCCTGCACCTTTACCAATTAATAAAGCTTTAAAGAGACCCTGTCAGAGAAAACAAAAATTTTAAATTTAATTACAATCTAGGGTCCATATTGCCCATACATACTGAGACAATTTACCTTCCAGAATGTCTTTGGAGTGTGAGTGGAAATCCACACACGCACAGAGAGAACATGCAAGATAGTGCCCTGGCTGGCTGGGTTTCAAACTGGGGACCCCAGTGCTGGAAGGCTGAAGTGCTAAGTTACTGTGCTGCCCCTAAATGCTTACTTGCTGTGTTTTTCCTTTCCATTAACAATTTTTCTATTATCTTGCAATGTACCTCTGAAAATATGACTACTCCAGGCAGAGTCAACTCCCTAGCACAGTCCCCTCCTGCCATGCATGTCATAGCTTTCTACTCCTCTGGGAGTATCGAGTCATTGTCTGTGGTGACCCAGCTCCTCTGCCACCATACACCCCCCCCCCACCACCCACCTTTACCTACCTTCGCAACCTTTTTCTGAGGGCAGAGTGAAGGGATGTACAATAAAGTATCACTTGACAGCTTTTTTCTGCCAGGCTGCTGACATCACATTCAAGATGGCAGCACCCAGCAGCAGTCTCAGGGCTTTTGAAAGTCCATAAAAGGAAGGTTTTTACAGCTAATAACATAAAAAGAGGCATGGCTAAATAGAACATGAGCCTACCTATATGCAGCACATATCTGCACTAGTCCTTGTGAGTTCCAAATAAGATTTCCTGTGAGTCATTGGCGGTCAGTAGTGAGTGCCCCTTGTCATTGCTAATCCATGGTGAGTGCCCCTTGTCATTGCTAATCCATGGTGAGTGCCCCTTGTCATTGCTAATCCATGGTGAGTGCCCCTTGTCATTGCTAATCCATGGTGAGTGCCCCTTGTCATTGCTAATCCATGGTGAGTGCCCCTTGTCATTGCTAATCCATGGTGAGTGCCTCTTTTCATTGCTAATTCATGGTGAGTGCCCCTTGTCATTGCTAATTCCTGGTGAGTGTCCCATGTCATTGCTAATCCATGGTGAGATGCCTTTTTATTGCTAGTCCATAGTGAGATCCCTTTTTATTGCTAGTCCATGGTGAGTGCCCCCTTGCATTGCTAATCCATGGTGAGTGCCCCTTGTCATTGATAATTCATGGTGAGGGCCCCCTTTTTGTTGGTGGCCAGTGGGTGGCTCAGTAAAATAGGGTTTTCAATGTTCAGTGGCTACTTTCCTGAAGGAGGAAAAACTCCACAGGTCCTGTATTACGTGAACCCTGCTCTATCTCTTTTGAGAGATGCTGGTAATAAAACTATGCAGACACTGTTGGGTGGCAAGTCACTCCACCAAGGACTGAATGCAGAGTGCCACTAGAACCAGAGAATCACGAAACATCTATGTCTGCCATTGTGCCCAGGCTCCTTTGGCATTTGTATTAGAAAAATAAACTTGGCATGTCCATGCCTTTAAAGTAGAATTCCAGATATAAAGTATTATACATACTTACGCTGGTGCAGCTTAGCCTAATGTAAGTATGCATATGTCATACCTGATCGGCCCATGGGGATCTTGTAAAGCACTATAGGGGATAGAACCCTTTACAATTCAAGCACCTTGTTGAGTAGTATAAGCATTGAATGCCTTTATAGATGAGTTTTTGATAAGGTGACCCACATACTAACAACACATATGTGACCCCTCTTCCCTATCATCCCATCAGCTCATTTATGAGGGGGGTTGGGGCTGAAAGGAATGACACAACATACCTTAAGCTTACAAAGCCCATCAGACACAGGATCGCAGGTCTGGCAAGCTCCATCATACAGAGTCACTGATTTAAAGTTACTGAAGACCTCGCCATCGTTGGAGACCTGCACATAAAGACGTGGAATGTAAATTGCTTCTCAATAACACATAATAATGCAAAGTGCTATTGCACAAAATCCGGCGCAGACAGAAACATAATAATAGCTGCAAGCTGCATCTCCATCAGTTTAGATTTTAATCTTTAGATGTCCTTATCAGCTCTGACGGCAGAGCTGATAAGGACATTACAGACTGCATGCAGACCGCCCTAGATAAGGCCCTCATGTAATGCTGAGCCTAAATGACTGAAAGAAATTAAAGGGGTGGGCTAGGGACATTCAGGCCGAAGAGCAAGGAGCTAGACAATACTGGACATCCTCCAGCCAAGAAATGAGGCGGCTTTCTTAGTTTCAAGATTTCAGAACCTCTTACAATTGTATCGACTGCCATGGTCACAAACCACTCCTTTTAACTATTCCCTATTGGTCCTTTAACAGGATGGGTGACCTCTATGACCAATAGCAAACTGAGGGAGGAGGTGGGGAAAAGAAGAAGGGGTAGTGCTCAACTTTCTCAACAAAAGTTGAAATTTGCCCTTAAGGGTTTTGTGCTTCAGAGCTCTGAGGGTCTGAGTAAGTTATGGGAAGGTATTTGCCAGTTTCACATGGTTTCCTGTGCTTTATTTATGCTCTCAGTTTAGGTAGTGTAGCTATAAGCCTATAGTGTTCACCACCTGCTGGACGTTACTCAACACTGCAGCTCAGGTCTTGGCAGTGCTCACCTGTACCCTGATCATGAAAGCCTAATTAGACTGCTGAACATTTAAGCTGGCCATAAACCTATAGTTTTTCTGCAGATTTTCTATGGTCAGATGGAAAAAGTGCAACAGATTCCTCCATCTACTCTAAACTGTGTGGATGGAGGAATCTCCTACTGGGCCAAGCTTCCGCATCTTGCTAGCCGGCCCCGCTGGCTGTGAAAATACCTGAACAATCTGATTAGATGCAGGTATTTTTCAGGTCTTTTGAGAGCTTACCAAGATACTGAAACTCAGTCCAGCGGGAGATGTGTTCCACTTTTTCCATCTGACCATAGAAAATATGCAGAAAATCTATTGGTGTATGGCCAGCTTTAGCCTGTGTATGATCGGCAGGCTCATCTGTTTGCTCATGCCCTGGATGGAGGTCTGTTTGTCTCTGACTTCTATCTGACTGCCTTATTGACACAGTGGGTCCAGCTAACTCCATGACAGGTAGGATTAAGCAATAACAGCTGAGCTTTAATATATAATTGCAACCAAACATTTGATTTAGATTTTTTGAATGGTAAGGGTTAAACCTTTCTCCATAAAAATACCTTGACTCTCCACTTTGCAATTGGTTTGTCATCCACTGGATCCATTCCATCAGCTTGGGCAGCGTCTACGGGAATCTGACAGTCAATGGCTCTGGAATTCCTGAAGGTGGCATCCATAAGCACTGGCTCAAGAAGGATCCATTTGCCACCACTATACTGGGAGGATGGGAAGAATGAATACGTGTAAAAAATGGTTTAGTCATGCATTCATTTAAAGTGGACCTAGACTTAGGCAAACAGACTGTATCTTAGAAACAGCAAGAGATGAGTCCATTGTGAATGATAGAGCACTAACAGAACTTTGAAACCTATTCTACAGCACTGCATAGAGACCACCATAATAGCAGAGTTACACAGTTTCATTGGGCAGCTTTTTCTGGTTCAGTGCCATTAATGCAATTCAGTAATTAGAAGCAGGAGTCAATGGGATCTTCCCCTGTTGATGTACACTATATTGCCAAAAGTATTGGGATGCCTTTACACGCACATGAACTTTAATGGCATCCCAGGCTTAGTTCATAGGGTTCAGTATTGAGCTGGCCCACTCTTTGCAGCTATAACATCTCCAACTCTTCTGGAAAGGTGTCCACAAGGATTAGGAGTGTGTCTATGGGAATGTTGGACCATTTGTGAGGTCAGGTACTGATGTTGGACAAGAAGGCCGGGCTCGCAGTCTCCACTCTAATTCATCCCAAAGGTGTTCTATCGGGTTGTGGTCAGGACTCTGTGCAGGCTAGTCAAGTTCCTCCACCCCAAACTCCCCCATCCACGTCTTTATGGACTATGCTTTGTGCACTGGTGCGCAGTCATGTTGGAGCAGGAAGGGGCCATCCCCAAACTGTTCCCACAAAGTTGGGAGCATGAAATTGTCCAAAATGTCTTGGTATGTTGAGGCCTTAATAGTTCCCTTTAGTGGAACTAAGGGGCCAAGCCCAACCCGTGACAAACAACCCCACACCATGATCCCCCCTCCACCAAACCTTACACTTGGCACAATGCAGTCAGGCATGTACCGTTCTCCTGGCAACCGCCAAACACAGACACATCCATCGGATTGCCAGACAGAGAAGCACGATTGGTCACTCCAGAGAACACGTCTCCACTTCTCTAGAGTCCAGTGGTGGCGTGCTTTACACCACGGCATCCAGCACTTTGCATTGCACTTGGTGATGTAAGGCTTGGATGCAGCTGCCCGGCCATGGAAACCTATTCCATGAATCTCTCTATGCACTGTTGTTGTGCCAATCTGAAGGCCACACAAAGTTTGGAGGTCTGTAGCTATTGACTCTGCAGACAGTTGGCGACTTCTGCGCACTGTGCGCTTCAGCATGCGCTGACCCAGCTCTGTCACTTTACGTGGCCTACCATTTCGTGGCGGAGTTGCTGTTGTTCCCAGTTGCTTCCACTTTGTTATAATACCAGTAACAGGTGACCGCGGAATATTTAGTAGCCAGGAAATGTCACGGAACACCTGAATCCAATGATTTGGAGGGGTGTCCCAATACTTTTTGCAATATAATGTATATCTCCTGATAGGCTTCTGCTGAAAAGCTAGACTTCAGATTTTAGATATAGATCTCCTCTCCACGCTGTCAGACATCTGGAACTATTTAAGTTACACATACTCTTGTAAAGGGTGAAAACACTCTTTAAAATCTACAGATTTGGTACCACTGCTCCACCTCCCAGTCTTTAACCTACTAAGGTACATTGTTAAACATGTTGATGTCCACCCTGAGCTTCCCTGCACTGGTGAACCTACTAAAGTACCTCATCCTTTCCCCTTGTATGGTGGACATTCTATCTGCAAGCTTGATTTCACTTTCTATTAGGTAGCCCAGTATAAAGCCACATTCTCAGTTACCCCTTGACTAGTTGGTGTGGCTTTTCACACTTATTACACTTCATAGGTCCATAGAACGCTGTCAACACAAACGCTACCCAAGATACACCACATATCCAATCAGTGACCTCACGGAAGCTACATACCTGTTGTTTAGTAAATTCACACTTAAGGCTGGCTGATTCCTTGAATCCTGTCCCAAAGACTCGTACAGAGGTGCAGTCGTATCTTCGAACGTCACACAGTCCAGAATTTTCAAGCTCAGAAATTTCAGGACCTTGGTCTTTACAAAGTACAAGAAGATGACAACATATTAATGTAAATACATCTCCACCCTGCCTGTTTAAATTCTCTATTTGAAGGGTGGATTACTGTTCTTTAACCGTGACATTCAGTTTAGTTTTAAGTTAGGTGCTGACCCTCCTTATCTGGCAAATTAGAACTATGTTCACACATTGAACATAGCCCTGTCCACTAGCCCTGCTCACATCTAGCCCTGCCCACTGCTTTCTGGATTGGCAGAACTGCCTCTGTTACTAAAACCTTACCACTGTGAGTTGCAGTGCCTGGGAGGGGGAGCGTATGAGACCCATATGAAGGAGAAATTGGCTTAAGCAGGGATGGTAAAGAAAGTGTTTTGTTTACTTTAAGAGGCTTGTGCATCACATAGTAACTGGATTTGGTAGTTGTTTAGACAATCATACTGGAGCCTTTAGATATACTTTAAAATGGATCCATAAACAGTTCCAGTTAGGGAGAGAAAGACAAAAAGAAAACAGATCCTACTGTGCTATCTCCATAGAAGACTTTCAATGTCCTCTAACTGGTTCCAAAACCATGGGCAATAATATGGAGTGGCCCCCTTTCCCCCTTTGCAGCTATAACAGTCTCCAGTCTTCTTGGATGTTTTTCCACAAGAGTTTGGAGTTTGTCTGTGGTAATTTGTGTCCATTCAGGCAAAAGAACATTTGTGAGGTCAGGTACTGATATTAGATGAGAAGATCTGTTTTGCATTTGTCCCGAAGGTGTTCAGTAGGGTTGAGGTCAGGGCTCAACCAAATGCTCCGATACCTTCCCCAATACTGGAACTTTCGGTCAGAGGAAGTTTTCCTCTGACTGGCAGTGCTGCGAGGGAACATGGAGCCGGCTCCCCGGCCAATTAGAAAGTCGGGCGGCAGGTAATGACTCGACTCAGCTCCATTCTGTTTAGCCAGCTCCATGCTGATTGACCTAGAAGCCGGCTTCCCAGCCAATCAGCATCGAGCCGGCCAAACAGCATAGAGCCGACTTCCGGGCCAATCAGCATCCATCCAGCCAAACAGCATGGAACCTGCTTCCCAACCAATCAGGAAGCAGAGCGGTGTCCTGGTTGACCGGGAAGCTGTCTCGATGCTGATTAGCTGGGAAGCAGGCTTCCCGGCTAATTAACACCGAGCCGGACAAACAGCATTGAGCCGGCTTCCTGGGCAATCAAGAAGCCGCCGCACGGCTTCCTGATTGTCCAGGAAGCCGGCTCCATGCTAGCGGTAGTACCGGTACTCGGTATTAGCGAGTACTGAAATATGAATATCGGTACTCGATAGCAAAAAAAATAGTATCGGTACATCCCGACTTGCAACAGTACCATTCATTGGAAACACCTGTATATATCAGAAATGTATTTATGACGACTTGTGTAACTACTGAAAGGTTCACTTTAACTACAAGCAAAGCATGAACTTACCAGACAAAATGCTGCAGTCATATGAACTGTAACCATTGAAGCACGCACAGCCCCATTCCATACACTGTCCATTGCCACTACACATGTTGGGACATTTCAGGGCTAGAATGATGGGGTCAATGGGTATCTGGGAGTGTTTTGCTTTATCATGCCCGAGTTCCACAAGTTTCCTTTCACACTCATTTTCCAGTAGGGCCTCCCCTGCTTCCACCCAGCCAAGGTCATCCTTCAGCATGATATCCGTGATACACATATCAACCACATCCATGAGACGCTTCTCCAAAAACCCAACACACAGTCTCCCAATGCTCGCATTATATACCGCCTCTTGGCAAACTGCTGAAGCGTATGAATGAGTCAGTCCTGAAGGAGTTGGCCAAGAAGGATAAAATTCCTGGTGTGAGTCACTGGTGTGATCTTCGGGGAAGAAGTAGCTGAATCCTTCCAAGTCAGTTTGGCTGAGGCTTTGATATGAAAATGTTTGTGGATACTCATAGTAATTCTGGCGTTTAGTCCGATTCCTAACATGTGCTTTGTGATCCCATCGGTTTTCTTGGTTCTTATTGCTTCCATTGGATTGAGATGGTCTTCTGAATATCACATTTTTTTTCAACTCATTCTTGGGCTCTTTAGATTCACTAGGATTCTTATGAAGGTTCTCCTCACCAGATGGTGTGTCATACTGTATTGAAACATCGGGCAATGAACGCTTGCTTAGTTCTCGTCCAGGATCAGTGTAGGTGTACTCATTGGTAACATCAAGTGCTGGTATTAAGGAGGGGAACCTCACATTTTCATTGCCACTGCAGACAAGAGAATCTTGCGGTGAATTTATAAAAAGCATGTTCACAGATGGATGCAGCAGGTTTGTCTCTGCCGCGCAGCTACAGTAGTTCCTTTTTTTGTTGATTGGCAGTGTGAACTCTGGAGGTTTGTCAAAAAAACTTTCTCCAGCAGAAATCCTGAGGAATAATTTCAAACAATTATAAAATTATTAATGAAGAACTCTTCTGACATGAGCTGTGAAATGATTGTGGGGATATTTTAGTAACATTTTGTTTAATTGCTGCATATCGGTTATACACCGGCTAGACATAATGTAAAATTCCAATCCATTTTCTACATTTTAGTGAGGATACCAGAATCCTGCTCTGTGATTGGTCCACTGCCACCCATTTAACTCTGTTTGAGGTCATATTAGAAGCAGCATGTTGCATGACATGTAGCAACCCTATCACTGGACTGGAAGTTCCATCTTTGGTTAGATGCAATACAGCCAGGCTATGGACAGCCAAGTACTTCTATATTTCCAAAATGTACCTGTATTGAAAAGGTTAGATCTTATACTTACCCTACCCTAAGCTTTTACCTTTTGTGGCATTGCGTGGCAATACCACTGTGTTATGTGGCCTCCAAATCTCCATTCCATGGTTCCATGCCTTTTTAATAGGGATTATGCACCTGTGTACAGCCCTCATGAAGAGGGTGCTGGGATTTGTTCAGGGCCCCCACCTGTGAGTCAGGAGAACTCCACCCAGGGGTCAGTGTGGAGGCCAGTGCAGCAGGGAGCTGCAGGTTCGTGAAAACATATTGGAAGGATTGGCATGTTATTGCCGTTGTCTGGAGGAACCAGACAGTGGCCCTGAAGATTGGGGCTGGAGCAGCAGTGCTGCAAGAGAGACTTATTAAAAGACTGGGACACCGTGAGTGTTTGGGACAACTCAAGGATTGGTGAGCCCCTATCTGTCATATGCTACAGCAAGTTATTTATGTTGGATTTCCTTTTTCTGCCTTTTGGCAGGGGCGTATCTGCCGCGAGGCAAACAAGACGTTTGCCTGGAGCGGCAGATTCCCTGAGAGCGGCGTTGCTGTGGCTCTCTCCCCTTGATGAATTTTATTTATCAGGGGAAGTGAACCAGAGGCTAGGGGGGGGCGTTGCTGTTTTGCCTAGGGCAGCAGCATTTGTAAATACACCGTTGCCTTTTGGAATTAATAAAAGACTGTCCTTTGTTCTGTGAAAACGGCTTCATGACTGGTCCTTAAGTGCTCGCCATTTGTGCTAACCTCCCCAACGTCACACTTTCCATATGAGTGACACAAATCATCTTCCAGAAAGATCCCGGGGAATACAGAGCAGACAAAATCTTGCAAGGACATGCTCCCGCAAAGGACTAAACTGTCTTCCTGCAAGAATTTGGGGTACTCATTAATCCTTAAGAATCTCCCCAGAACGATAGTGATGTCACACCCATAGATGCGGAAGACAGGGGTAACATAAGTATGAAATCTAACTTTTTGCTTTACAGGAACATTTTGGAAATACTGTCAGCCAGCCATTTTTTAGATGGTGGGATGTCAGAGCTAATTAGTGGAAACTGCTTGGTGGAACATTTATACATAGGTCCCTAAGTGTGTATGTACTGTACATGATTGTGCAGTACAATAGGCACTAAGGTTTGACCACACAGACACTTCATAATGTAACAGGCTTGGTCAGACCCGACTCTACTCCTTTGCGTGTGATGAGGGGTGTGCCTGTTACTCAGCTATGCCAACACAGAGTGCTGAAGTGAAAACTCAAGCAACTGCATTCCCACTAAGAGAAACAGTTCCTTTAAGGCATTTTCAAGTGGAAATCAGGTAGAAATCATGACATGCAGCGGCAAGGAACTATATAGAATAAAAGTTGTGAGAATTCAATGAGGTTTTAGAAGTGTGTGTGAGCCAAGTGGGATTTCTCTTACTTCCAATGGTTGATGAAGTACAAGCGGCTGTGTGACGTCTCCTCCAGCTGGGCCCCTTTAGTATCATGGAAATCATTGTTAGGATTTCCATCGAACGTCCCGCACAGTCCCAGCGTGTTCTTGAAGTCCGAGCTCGGAGCTCTGAGCGTCAAACTCATCCCCCAATCACTGACATCAGCACGGATGAAAGCTCCTGAGGAGAAGGAGATCTGGAGGAAATTTAGAAAGTGGATCAATCAAAGAACATGATGGAGGCCACAAGAATGATATGGTCTTCATGGATATGGTTAATAAGGTAATACTTTAGCAAGACAATGTCACACACATGGCTATAGGCCCACTCTTTGGACAAAACGTTTTATTTGCTATACTGATGAATATATGGTTGAGTTAAGATGTTTGCTTTGACTCAGATCACACAGTCAGTAATGGCTATTGTGTTGTTGAAGAACCAGAAATCTTTGTGACTCAAGCAGAACTGGAGTTAAAATAGATTGAAAGCTGATGATCATCATGTTCTTCTGCAAGGAGTCTGTAAGAATAAATTCCTAACCTTTTATACATCAGTATTTCCTATTTTTCTCTTTTTGCCTGGAGAAACAATTTAAAGCCCATCTCCAGGCACAAAGCAAAAAAACCTATTGCAGTGCTAAACACCACAAACACCCCCCCCCCAAACACACACAGTGCAAGGGTTGTGGTCAATAGCTCTTTCATTGCACATGATAACAGCACTGGACCGCCCACAGCCAGGAGCGACATGGAGAAAAGGAGAGAGCCAGAGCATGCTAGAGTGGGGAGAAGGTAAGTAATATCTCCTTTTCTTGTACCCCCTAGACCTAATGAGCATTTATCCCTTGCGTTGTGTGGGTGGTGATGGTAGTGGTGGTATGGGGGTTATTTGGGGCGTAATTGCAAGGTTTTTTTTTATATTTTGCTTGGAGTTGGGCTTTAAGGACAGTAACAAGGGTAGCTTAATGGAAAAGTTTAGCCTAGACTTTTATGACCATTCTGGGGTTCAGGCCAGCAGTGAAGACTTGGCAGGAAGCCAAGAAGGTTTGGGTGTCGTTGTCCATTCCTTAGCTTTGGGGATGCAGAAAAAAATAGCTGACTCAGTCATACTTGTCAGCGGAATCCTTTCTAGCCTTTGCTGCTATACAGCACATAAATCCTGGAATTTCTCTGAGGCTTTTACATGCAGTGTTACCGCTTACAGTTTGCTCGTAATCTGCACCATTACTAATCCACTAACGATCCTTGACCGCCCATCAGACGCTTAACGCAGTGCAAGCAGATGTAACATTTCAGAATTTCATGTCGATGCATCTGGATGGAAACTGTATATATGTGTCCCTTCTCTGTTATAAACTTGCAACGGTATTAGAATGTTGGCAGCAAGTATTACACAATAAGGCGACGCCGTCCAAAAAGTAGGATTTGCGATATAGCAAAAGAAAAACTGAAACCGACAGTGTCTGTGACAGGATCTCATTTATCCAGATTATAGTGTAACTAGTAGTAGTTAGTCACATTCAGCTGGACTTGTTCTGCAATGTTGAAGACATTTCGCAGCTTCTCCAAGTCACTTCTTCAGTTCTAATGAGTACCAGGAACATACTCAGCATTTTTATTCACACAGGCGCCATAGACAGGAACCTTGCTCTCTCTCTCTCACACCAATGTCACCCCCCCCCTTACCTTTTCTGTTGTGTTGTGCAGAAAAAAAACATATTCGCATGCCCAACAATGTTCTGTAGGGATCCGAACTCTACCACTGCACAGCAGATTCCACCATCTTCTCTGATGTCATCAAGGGGCCAGCTGTCTCTTCCAGGTTCTTACAGGTGGGCACAGCATATGTGCGTCATCAGGAAGGCTGATTGCAAGAACCAGGAAGAGACAGCAGGTCCCCTGATGATGTCAGAGAAGAAGATGGCAGCATGGGACTGGCTCTGCCATGACGGAGTGGCAGATTCCGACAGAACATCCAGAAAGAGACAGCTGGCCCTCTGTTAACACTCCATATGAGTACCCCAAGGTCTCCTGGAATGCAGTATGTGGGTATCTCAGTAGGCTATGGAGAACAAGTACACGGTGATAATGCAGGAAGTAAAGTGACGCTTCCCCAAAAATCTTATCTAAAAAATAAATTCATATCGGACTGTTAGGGAGGTGGGTAGGAGTGGAATTAGAGAACATGGATGGGGCGGGAGAAGGTCAACTTTAATCCAATCACCATGGAATGTTTCACAGTAGGTGTTGATTGTCCAATTGGATGGATATAAATGCTGAGATAAGTTCTTGACACTCATAGCTGAAGAAGTAAACTGGAGAAGCTACAAAATGACTTCAACATTACAGAACAAGTTCAGTTGAATGTGACCAACTACTGCTGGTTAAAATTGACAATTGTCTTTTCCTCCCCTGTATGCCAATGGCTTTGCTTGCACAATGTTTGGCAACTAGTGACATCAGTGAGCTGGGCGTGAAGCCGGACAGAGCGGCAGAGGTCGCTAGGAGCTCCTAGCAGCCTGGAATGCTGTGGCCACCCCACTGCCACCATCCCCCCCCTGCCACTCCCCAATAAGATGGCACTTGACATAACTGCCTCAAGTTGTCTTATTATAGGAATGGCCCCGAGCTGTCCACAGGGCCACTGCTAGACTATTTTGCACCATAGGCAAGACCAGCTACTCGCACCCCCCAGCCCCCCTTCCG